AGTCGTTTCTTGATACCTTCCATTTTGGGGCATCTTTCTTTTCAAAACAAAAACCAGAACCAAAAACAGGTGCTGCTCTATGCACATAGGAGAAATCAATGAATGGGATCAATATTCCCTCTGCAGGTAATAAATGCTGAGAAGCATTTCTGTCTATCTAAATTGATCCTAGAGAATTCTTTAAATTGGTTCTGATGTGTATAAAAATCATTTCCCTATTGATCAAAGCTTTTCTTTCTTTCATTCTTTGATACGTTATTTCATCTTTGCTGTCAGTCATGGTCCCAGGTCTTTCTATGCAGTTATGTTAAACAGAATGTCTTAAATCCGTGCGAGATCATAATTTTAATGACTCAAGAAATAACTGGGCTTGTGTCTTTGAAGATGAATGCTTTGCTTTCAGTTAGGCAGCCTAAGTATTTTGAAATTGGCAAAGTCACAACGTCTGAATTATCTACAGTAAACCCTAAAAATAGTGGCCACGATTGCATTGAAAGCAATTGCCCAAATCCAGTATCCCCTACTCTGGGTGTCACTGCTGCTGCTACACGCAGGTGATTTCTCTCCCTTTCTCTTTCCTTGTTCTGCTCTGCACCTGAACAAGAGCATCCCACCGTTGGGTTAACCCAGCTGCAGTGGTGTTAAGGTGAAATCTTAAGACTTTGGCCAACAGCATTTATTAATTGAGGAGCCCAGCGCCTGCAACCTGATCTGCCTTCCCAACCCAGTGCTATCGCTGTCTCCCACAAAGCTCTACTGAATTGTATTGGCAAGGTTTCATTCAAAATTCATTTTACAAAGAGGACAGTAATTGTGGCTGTGATTTCTATTAAGACCTTATGGAGTATAAATTGTCAGGCTGTCTTTTGACAAGTGCAGGTCTTGTTCCCTCTACCCCAAGTAATTTGGTTCTATCAACCCAGCAAATTAATCTTATCTGGTTTTGTGTTCTGAAGAAACGCAGTCACCAATTCCATTGCTTCAATGTGCCCTCCAGTATTTTAAATTTAGCTCCCAGTTCAAATTAGAAGATGAGTTTTGTATTGTATCTACATATGTGGCTTTAGCTCTGATAGTATCTACATAGCAACATAGGTGCTAATTGATTTTAAGGTCCAGTTCTGTTCTGAGAACAAGGTTGAGATATGTCTTTAGTACCAGGAATAAAAAGGCACGGGTGACTTGGATTGCTTTTATGAGGCAGGAATATTTTTCCAGCCCGAAGAGCTGAACTGCCTTAGGAATTCATCAATGCCCAAAGCAAAGGGCACTGCCAGCCTGGAGGTGGCAGCCTGGCCAGGCACTGTGTGGTGCTGGCAACGGAGCCTGTTCTCTGGGGGGTGCTGGGGCTGGAGATGTGCAGCAGGAGCTTGCTGTAATGTTGGAAACAAAAGGAGCCGAGAGGCATTGGCCACTTGGGAAATTCAGTTGCATCCCAAAAGGTATGTGCAGAAATACCACGTCCCATCTGCTGGCGGGTTCGTGGGCTGCATCACAGCTTCCAGGTGGGGTGGGATTCATGGAAACATAGAACAGTTTGGGTTGGAAGGGACCAAAACAGTCAGGGGTTTGTCCACGCCATGTGGGTGACAATTTGGACTACTAAACCCAGTAGGTGGCTCAGCAATTGATTCCTCTGTGGGTCCCTAAAAGGGAAACGTAGCAGCATCCTGGGCTTGACTGCAGTGCAAGTGTGCATAGAGAGAAAAGATGAACAGCCAAATACTTTTTAGCACACAGATATTTTTGCTGGGGTAAGTCACCATCCCTTTCGGCGACTGCTTGCACAGTCGTTTATGCCTTCCAGTGCTTCTGCTGCTTTTCTCTCTACCTTTTCTAACTCAGTGCATGCTTTTTGGAGCAAATGACCAGATGGTCAGAGCTTATGTTATTCTAAGGACGTAATAGGGGTACATCAGAAAAATTAGTACCTCTGTTCTAGTAACGGTCAACAACAGATTAGATGTAATTGCTACAAGGGCTGCTACCGTAGGGTCTCTTTGGCGTGGCAGTGTGCTCTGTCATCACTCCTGCTGCCAGGTGGAGGAGGAGGAATGAGCTCAGGGCTGGAGCTTAGGTTTAGCTCCCCATCTTGCTGGTCTGTGGATGTACCAGCAGATCTGCAGCGGCTTTGCATGAGCTGGACGTCTTTGCAACCTTGAGTTTGAGATCTGGAGGTGCTCTGCATCTTCTAATCAGAAACTGTTCATTTTGATGCAGTTCTGCATTACCTGCTGAGCACAGAGGATTTGCACAGACCTGCCCCACCTGACAATTTACCCGAAGGTGTATGAAGGAACAGTTATCTCCAGGCTTTTGTCTTGCTCTGAGTGCTATATCAAAGTGCCTTTGTTAGTGCATGAGGAAGCGTCCTTCATCTAAACAGGGCTTCGCATGACGATTACGTAATAGATTTTGTTTGGCTTCCTAATTGGAAACTGTCTTGAAAGAGCAATAAAACACAATTTGTTCCCAAAAAGAAATATCTCCTTTTGGAAGGAAGGGGGGAGTAAATTTACATTATAATGAGCAAAGTGTTATGGGTGCGTAGATCAGCGGTGACAATGGGTGTCAGAACACGACCTCATTTGGCGCATTCCTCTCCCCTCTTTGCCTATATTTGCAGTGCGTCCTTCTGCTACAGAGCAAGGAGTTGCTGTGCTCATAGCCAGCAGCAGCAGTGCATCACAGGGTTGTAGGCACCAAATGTATGGGAGATGAGACACTACTCCTCGCCAGGGCTGCCCTGCTCACCCAAGCCCTTTCCCTGGCATGGGGAGATGTGCCGTTTGCTGCTGCACCTCATAAGCTACTGGCAAGCTGCAGTTGTCCAAGCCTTCCTTTGTTTTTGTCTCCCTCCTGTCCTTCTCTGTTTTTAACAAGCACTTCATTATGGCTTTGAGGAGGCTGAAAGTGACATTAACCCCCTGCCCAGCTGTTGCGGTGTCAGGGCTCCAGGCAAAATGGCATTTATTTGGCTTCTGGAGGAGTCATCCCAGTTACTGCCTGGAGAGCCTGGCTGCAAGTGATATCCATATGCAGTGCTTCTGTCAGCAAAGACTTCCTGGAAGAGAGTTTGTAATAAATATTCACATCTGCTGCTTTGGACACTCTAATCCATCCTACAGATCTTTGCTGTGTCAGGCTTTGTTCTAGATGAGGAAACTGGGTAGTTGTAAAGGTTTGCAAATAGGGCGTATTTATCATGGTTAGCTCCACCTTCCATTTGCCTTTCCTGCACAGGCATCCATGACTACACTAAGCATAACGTGTGCTTAAGTATTCTTGACGCATTTGAGAGCAGCCTTTAGACTTGTGTTTCCTTTGAGAGATGGAGAAGTGGCATTGGTTTGCTTCCCAGGTTGTCAAGTGAGCCAGTGTGACGATCACTGTTGTGAGTTAGGTTGAGTGGCAGGACGATGTGTTTCCTGGATGAACAACACGTTGTGTGGTCACAGCCAACACCATGGCTTGCGTGGGATTCATGCTAGGAGGACAGATTCTTCCCAGCTAACTTCTGATGGGTGACTGATGACTATTACAGTTAGTTTCCAAAATGAGGGAGCCTGTATCTGGTGGCAGGGTAAATAAATGTGCTGAACACGTTGCTTTCCACCTGGTACCCGTGCTGGTATTAAAGTAGGAGGACAGCTGACTTTATGCATCATTGGGAGTGATGAAACCTGGGTCTGTCTGGTTTGTCAGTAAGCACGTGGAAAGTGGAGACTCTTTAGAACCTTTTTGACTTAGTTAGCTTTAGTTCTGTTGTAAGGCTTTTCCAAAAGGCTCAGAGGGAGAAGGGCATTCGATTCAGCTGGATGCCCGACCTCTCTGCAATTTGGCTGAGAACTGCCCTTTCCATTAGGGCAGCGCTGTCCAAGAAGAGCAGCGTGACGGCGTGATTCTGATACCTCCAGCTATCAGCGGAGCATTTGCTTCTCTGCTGCTCAGCCTGCGTGTCAGAATCTGGCCCTAAATAATTGCACCCAAGTGGAATAGCTGTGCCCTTAATGAGTAGCATACCCAGGTCTCCAGATTCACTTAATCACTCTGAATCCAATCTCATTATCATTGATCTAGTCAACTTTCCCATCATTTATCTCAGCAAACAGGAGCACGCAAGACGTGGTTCATCTTTACACCGCCAGCTCCACACTCCCAGCACCTCTGCCCTTGCCAAGCCTGCTAACTTTGCTCTGTGTTTCCATTCCAGGTCACACCGTGGCTGTGGCGAGCAGCGATGGGGCTGTGAAGATTGTGCAGCCAGAGCTGGGCCAGCTCCATAGCCTGCAGGGCCAGGGTAATACAGAAGTGCAGAGCGTGGCCTTCCATCGCCCAGTGGAGATGCTGCTCTCGGGGGCTGCCGACGGCACTGTCTGTGTCTGGGTCTAAGGATGAGCCTCCAGGTGTTTCGTGGGAAGAACAGCTTAGCAGAGGGCTTAGCAAAGCGTTTCCACAGTTAATGTTTGCAGGAGGCATAGTTGCTCGAGAGGAGTGTTACCCTGCGTTTTAACCCAATAAAAGCCCCGGTTTGGCTTTCTTTATGCTGTTTTCCCCAGCATCCAGCATCCCTCATTCGGTCGCTCGGGCAGAAATAGCTTTACAATGACGCCTAATGACAGAGCAGCCGAATTGCAGGGAGATCGATTGTGAGCGTATCGCAGCGGAGCCACCAGCGCACGGCTCCCCAGTTCCAGCCTGCGGGAAGACGGGAAGTTTTAATAATGCAGCAAGGTGGGATTTTGGATGCAGCAACCGCTCGGGCCGCCGCCGGGGCAGGAAGGAGGCCGAGTTGGGGAGCGCAGCACTGACAGCAGTGGGATCACCGCAGGGCTGCGTGCCTCTCCCCGCAGCTGGATTCCTCTTTTTTTTTTTTTTTTTTCCCCAATTCCCTCTTTTTATTTTATTATTTTTTTCTTTTTATTTCCCACCCGCCCTCAAAAAAAAAAAAAAATTTTTTTTCCTTTCTTTTTTCTTTCTCTTTTTTTTTTTTTTTTTTTTGAATAATTAATTACTATTATTATCACTAATAGGGGGTGGGGCAGCCATGCCCATCCCCAGGGCTGGGGAGTCCCCGCAGGGGAGCGGGGCCCGCCGGGCGCTGGGCTCCTCCGCCCTCCCTCTGCCTGCCCGCCGCCTCGCCAGCCCCCGCGCCCCGCTTCTCCCCCCTCCTTCCCCGGCTGTGGCAAATCCTGCACTGCAAGATATCCGCTGGGCATAGGGAGGGGATCTCTCTGTTGTTGTGTTTTTTTCCTTCTTCCCTCCCCCCCCCCCCGCTCCGTCTCCCTACCCTCCACTTGAGACCTGAGGAAATCCAGCCCAAGTTCTCTGCGATGACTGCGCTGCTGGCATCGGGGTTTCTCCACGGCATCCCTGCCTCCGGAGCGCCGCGCCGCTGCTCGCTCTGAATCCTCGGCGCCGGGTGAAAGCTTAATTCTCATGCCGTGGTTGCTGGGCTGCTGCTTTCCTGCGTTTTGCGATGGGAGGTGGAGGAGAAGGGATTGTCCTTGAGTCAACGCTGAAAATGTGATTAGGAAGAACTGCTTTCACTAATTTTTGTCTAACCTTTTAGTCCATGTTGGCCTGTGACCCCTCGCAGCTTTCAGACCGAGCCTGATTAGGTAAGTGTGAATTATTCACTAGGGGCGAGGGACGGTGGATGGAAGCGTTTTAATCAGGCACTTAGCGATGGTCCTGGCTCCTCTCCCGATGAGAAATGATGAGAAAGTTGGGCTGTAAACTAATTGCGAGCAGAGCGGCGCTTGTTTACTTGTTGCAGTCTGTCGGTGGGAGCTGCCTGCAGTCTGTCTGATCTCCACCTGGCAGTTGCTGTGGGACAGCTCGGATGGCCACGAGCTGTAGGAAACACTGTGCTCTTATTTATGAGCTTCAGAGAACTTTTGGTTTTTAATTTGGAGAGCTCCCTCCTCCAACTTCAGCACCTTCTCTCCATTGTTCCATGTTTCCCCAGACGTGAATTACTTCATTTTCTCCTGCTGTGTTGTGTTTGTTTGTTTGTTTCCTAAATATCCACCAATCTGCAGTATTGCAACCTACCTGTAGCATTTAGGTGGGCATCCACTTTGAAGCCAGCTAGAACAGCATGAACCTCCCGAATCCCAAACAGCATGTTACAATAGGTGCTGCTGGCAGGTGTAAGAGGATGCCCGGTCCTTGTGCTAGGAATGCAGCTAGCACTTCAATTAAGAAGATATCTTTTGAATTTGATAAAGCTTGTGTAATATCCGGTGTCTCCCTCTGTTGTGGCTTTGGAAAAACTGCTTTGTCAACAGGATCCCTCAACTGCTTTTCCAGGAGTAAAGCTTGCTGCCACTGCTGCTTTCCTTCAGCTAAGGAGAATGAATTGCTCAACATCTGCAGGTCGTCTAAAATCCCAGTGCTGAAGGAATACCCCCTGGGGGTAGAGGGGGGCATGTTTGGCTGTGTAGGCGATGCGCGTTGTGCGCTGTGCATCTGCCTGCCCGCAGACAAGCCGTGCTTGGTGAGTGCTTCCCCTCCTCAATGCAAAGCTAACATCTTATCTCGCTGAAAAGTTTGCTGCAGCACTTTGCCTGGTCCTCCGTGGAGGGGTCAGAAGCCACGGCACAGCTGCTGCTCGCGGGCTGGGCGGTGATGTGGCACGGCAGGCAACCAATCGCACACCCAGGGATGCACGGAGCCTCTCTCCGAGCTCAGCCCTGGGGCCAGGCAGAGCTTCTTTTTCCCTCTGTGGAGCTGAGCACGGCCAGGTTGGGCAGTGCTGCGGTGCTCCTGAAGTTTTAGTGAGGTTCCAGCCACGATTCAGCAGCTCTGCACACCACGCAGGCATTTAGCATCCTGCTCTCAGCATTTCTCCCAGGGAAGCACCGGAATGCTGAATACTGGAGGAGAATCGTGTTGTGTATTCGGTCAGGATCATACAGACCTGCTGCTGGCAGACCAGGCAGCTCCTCTTCCTTCTCCTAAATGCTGCATGTGAAACTCTGCTGCTCCACCTCTCATGCACCGCGTACAGTCCAGCTCCATCTTCTATGCTGGATGCAGATCTGCCTGCAGAGTGTGCTTCCCTTGTTCTTCAGCCCCCCTCTGTTTGATGAACAGGGCTGTGTGCCACACAGAAGGACCGATGGCCACAGCAGGAGGTTAAGGCCACGCTTAAGCTGGGGCTCAAATCCCTCTGGGCTGTCCGTGCCCATGCAACTCCAGGCAGCTGCTGTAACTTCTGGTGCAACAGGAAACTCTGCACACAAGGGAAATAAAAATGAGGTGATCCTCTGAGCCATCGTTTGTATAGAGATGTTTTGTGGGCATACACTTACAGAAGTGTGTCTAATTTATGTATTTCATGTGCTTTATTCTCATTACACATAACTCAGGAGGGGCTTATTCCAAATGAAGCAGTGATAGCTATCTGCACAGTTTGAAAGCACTGATTTATTCTTTCGTGCTGGTTGAAGGTACAGCCCTTATTAGTTGATGTTCCTTAATACTTTGAATTCTCACTTAAAAATGTTTGCTTTCAGACCACGACACTGGTCTCCTTATGGAAGCAGCTGTTTCTATCCGGCCCTGAGATCCCATGGAGAAGCTGAGGAGGGGGATGGCTCTTCACATCCATGAAGCCTGGATACTGCTGTTTGTAATCCCTGGCTTGGTCACGCCGGCTGCCATCAACCACGAAGATTACCCCGCCGATGAAGGGGACCAGACCTCCAGCAATGACAATCTGATCTTTGATGACTACCGGGGGAAGGGTTGTGTGGATGACAGTGGCTTTGTGTACAAACTGGGAGAACGCTTTTTCCCGGGGCATTCCAACTGTCCCTGCGTTTGTACTGAGGATGGACCTGTTTGCGACCAACCCGAATGCCCTAAAATCCACCCAAAGTGTACAAAAGTGGAACACAATGGATGCTGTCCAGAATGCAAGGAAGTGAAAAACTTTTGTGAATATCATGGAAAAAATTACAAAATATTGGAGGAATTTAAGGTATGGAACACTTTTTTTTTTTCCCCAAGTTTTTATATTAGTGTGATAGAAGGCTTGCTGGGGACTCTCAAAGGTGGTCAGTATTTGCTTGCTGCTGATAGCAAAGATGTTTTCAGCTGTGATGGAGGTCAGGCTAATGCAAAAGGTGCCACCTTCCCCCTCACATGCACTCAGATCAGCCAGAAGTCCCCAAGCAAAATGCTGATCCTCTGAAGCTGTGATGCTGGACAACTTCCCTGGTTGCTCACAGCATGAACTGGCCTACCAGGGGAGTCTGTAAAAGTAGAGGTAAATCAATGCTGGGTGCTTTTTAATAATCCCTTTTCCAAATTGGATAACAGAATATGATGACATGGTACTGAGAGTTCTTGCTCATAACTGTATGAGAATACAGGTAGGTTGCAGGCTGTGTGGAATGTTCTCATTGCAACTGTGGTAAAGCTGTTCAGAAGGGCAAAATATTAATTTATAGTAAGATGACCATCCAAAGTACTGAGAAGCAGGGGGCTCAGTTCCAACAGTAGAGTTCCTGTTAGGAAAGTTGTGAAGAAACCCTTCAGGAATTGGTTGTGAAAATAAGACCAGGTTTCAAAAGCCATTACCCTTTACACAACCTGCGTCTCTTATTCTTAGAAGTTTGATTACATGTTTTCAATTCTACTGAGGCAAACAGCATGTCACAATGAAAAATGGGGTCTGCAAAGGCAACAGGTATACACAAGTTTGTTCTCTCTGGTCACATGGCATTAAAATTCATACCTCCTTAATTAACAGCAGCCCATAACTCTTTGTGGCTGTATGCCCAATCTCATTATACACTTGCCAGTGTGTTTTCTTCTCTGACAATGAAAATGCTTCCATATAAATCTCAGAACTGTGGAAGTTCTTGTAGCATAGATTGCAATTCTCTTTTTCCCAGCTATTTTTTGTCATTTTCAGTGAAGGTAATATTTAGTTTCTTTCTTATATCGTGCGTAGTTTACATTCATCTTTTCCTATCCATCTGCAGCTGGAATCTGCAGGTGGATAGGAAAAGACTTGTTGAAGCCTTGTTTGAGGCTCTAGATTGTCTTGGCCATGCAACGTGGCAAAACATATATGAGGATCATATCCTCAAGGGCCATTCTGCTCATCTTGTTCTCTGCTATGCAGAGGAGCATGAAGAGGCTGATCTTGTGAGCTGCTTAAATCACAATTTCTTCTTGTCCTACAAAGGCTGTCCCCATTTCATCCCACAAACATTGTTCTCCAGTGGTCTCGCATCCCACCACACTGTCATTCTGGCATATGATTGGAAAGTTTGCAAGGAGTTGTTTTGGGGGGATTTTAGGGAAGAAATAATCCCACCTGGTAAAGGATTAAGAGGTAGAGAAGTGGAATTTATGGAGGAAGGCTGTTTGTTGTGTCCAACAAGTGCAGGGTATCACTTGGGAGCAAAGCTCCAGAATCCTCAGAAAAAGGCAGAGTAGGTGCTGGACCATCCAATGTAGGACTAATGTGGGATCCTTCAGCCTTGGCTCCATTCATGATCAAGCTCTTGATCTTGACCTGTGTTTTACAGAGAACCCAATGCTTTGTGCAACAGGGCAGAAGCTGATTTTGAGGGGAATCTATGTGTTTACCCAAAGTAACTCTTGCTCCTCTTAGAGATTCAGGCAGTGGAAAATCAGTGTGCGCTTCCAGGGGTGTTTTGGGGAAAAAGGAATATGAAAGAAAAAGAACAAAGAGCTTCCAAGATTCAGAAAATTGCTGCTGTGAAGGAAAATGCTGACCTTGTTGAAGCACTGGGTTGTTTTGCTGTTTGCTTCAACGGAACCAAGATTTTATCAGCCAACTCTCTAGAAGAAATCCTGAGCAGTCCATAGCTTTTATAGGCTCTGAACTCTGCTCTTCTCTCCTCCTGCTGGATTTATAGGGTCTGCAAACTTTCTGAAGTCCATTTCTCACACACTGATCTCTGTCTTTGTCAAGGAAGAGAGGCTTTCTCCAGTCATTCCAGCTCAAAACCAGACTGCTTTCAATGGAAGTGGAGTCAGTGGTGTCATAGAATCACCAAGGTTGGAAAAGCCCTCCAAGATCATCCAGTCCAACCATCCACATGCCTCCAATGTCTCTTAGTACGACATCTAAACGTGTCTTGAGCACCTCCAGGGGCAGTGACTCCACCACTCCATGGGCAGCCCATTAGAGCTTTCATTTGAAAACCTTTTGCAAGTGTCTTTGAGCATGCGTGTCTGCATACAAACATTCGTACTTGCTCTATTGCTGTCACCAGGGCTGACTCATCATGTGGAAATTTCAGCTGCCTGATCTCTGCACAAATTAGGATTATTATTTTCTCAAGGAAATTGGTTTTCTCTGGGAAATCAGAATTGGTGAGAGGTTTCTATTTGGGAGAATTTTCCCATCTTCCTTTTGGGTTTCTGTTTAGGCTTAGGATGAAAAATCCGAATGCAATTTAATCTTTTTATTTTCTTACCACTGACAGGAGCTGTGACTATCTCAGGGTAAAAGAGTACTTCTAAGGACCCGTTTCTTAAAGAATTAGGCTGTTTGTGGTTTTTTTTTCTAGTGGGCTGATTTTGTACCTCTAATCTTTCTGACTCACAGCGATCGTAAGCACAAAATATAAACATGACAACAAGCCATCCAGCTCAGACAGCTGTCCAAATGTTTATGCTTGTGCCCCTAAATCATTAACACGTACCGATGAAATGCTAAACTGAAGTTCAGTTGTAAATCTAAACCCATTAGGAGTCTCTCTGCATGCTTGCAGATGGTTTAGTAACCCCATGTAGGATCTTCATAGCCCTACGATGGGTCCTAGGAGATCTCTGAGGTCTTTGGGCTCCAGCTGCCTGGATGGAGCTTGCCCGTCCGCTCCGTTTGCCTGGGACTCATCCATGCCCCCAGCTGAGGCTGCAGGTAAAAGGGAGGGCTGGTTGCTTTTATGATGATCTCTTTCCCAACCTCATTTTTCACTTCTTTCCTTGTTGGCCTCAAATCTGCTCTCTTAGGTCTCCTGCAGTCCTTCCCGGAGCAATCATGGGGTGATGGCAGTCTAGGGGTCAGTGTGAAGGATGCTGCAAGTCTCGGGCACTGTGTCTGTTTTTCCCAGAGGAAACTGGTGGTCACTCATGGGGTCACTTTGCAGCCTACTTCAGTTTTGATTTCCATCCTGCAGGTTAAGGTCCAAGTCCCGAGAGCTCTGCACTTGCTTACAGTGAGGTTGCCAGCCCTCCCCTTTCTTCCAAGGAGACATAACAAGCAAATTCAAACCTGAGAGCAGAGTCTTGGCTATTGGGAGTGCACATGGCTGGGTGTTAAATGAATCTTCCCAGACAGCAGCTTATGTAAAGTAAAGGAGACAGCGTCCCGCCAGCTTGATGAATGTTCGCTGGCAGCTGATGGAGAAATCGTGCAAATGTCAGTGAGACAACAGCTTTCCTAAGTGCTGATTAGTTTTTGCTCAGCTGCATAACTTACTGCCAAAAAAGCGTGTGCCTACCCGGATTAATAAATGCAATTTATGGCCTGGGTGAAGGTGCATTTGTGTAACCACATCCTTTGGGAAATTCTTAGTTTGTCCATTTGCAAAGTCAGTAATCACGTCCCAATCTCCCACACTCTCATATCCAGCCTAACTGTCCGTAGACCTCTGTGAATACGTGGCTGAGTGCCACTGCCGGGAAGCGGGCGATGAGTTCACAAGAGATTGCCAAGCTGACATCTTGAAGCGTTCTCTTAATTTGGGGCCATGCAGGTGGGAACCTGCTGCTGGTGACATGGCTTACTGTAGCATGGTGTCATCCTCAAAGCCACCAGCAGAAGTCTTGTAGCCACGGCTAGTAGAATTTCTCTATTTGCCTTCAGGTGAGTTATCCTTTGGGTGAGGAAGGAAGAGCTCTGGGCATCCCAGCTTTGCCAGCTTCTTCTTTCTGTCAAACATGAAACTGCAGTTTCTTGCAGCCATTGGCTTTGGCAGTGCTTAACTTCTGCTGTTGCCTCTCTGCTGCTGGCCCTTCCCAGGCTGCACCTCCTTGTTATCTTCCCCCTTCACTGCTCCCCTCCCAGCCCATCCTTGCTCAGAAAGCCCGTATGTGATCCCTGAATGGTTTTGCCCTGCATCAAGCACAGGTGTGGAGGGGTGAGAGCCCATTGCCCAAGGGCAGGCCATCTCACTGTGTAGGGAAAAAAAGGAAAGGGCAAATTTTAGCTTTGTTCTAGGACAAAATCTCTGCTGACTTGAAAAGAGCCAGGGCTTCACTCCTGGAGTTCTCCTTTATTTTTCTTTCTCGTGTTTCCTTCCAATGTATCTTTGTCTGCAAATCACCCGTAATCCTCCAGCCAGGCTCCTGTATCTTGCTGACTTGATGTCTTCTTGAGCAGCACTTTGCACAGTAGGGATTGCAGCTCTCACAGGGACCGTCGGGTTGTAATCAGAATCCAAAATGAATGAGGGACTCTATAAGCATGGCATTCTTGTATACTAATTCTCAGCTCATTATGAAAAGCTCTGCTTTGGAATAGCGGCACCTCCTTCTCCTTTGTTAATGCTCTTTTAAAAAATGTTTTATTAATGCAATTATATTAATAGAACTTAATGAAATAATACCTTTTCATCAAAAGGCATTAGCAGAATCAAGAGTTGATTCAGCTGCCATCCCAGCAACTCCCAGTCCTGAAATACAGTGTGTGCATTCTGCCGTAAGGTAAAGGCAGGCCAGGAAGACCAAAGTGATTCCCCAGCCAGTAATCACAACGGCGTGATAGAGCAGAGATGCAACAACTTCTATCTGAGAAGCTTCCGAAAGTGCCACGAAAATAAATCAGAGCAGGGAGAAAGGGAAGATTCTTGATGGAGCTTTTTGCTCTCGTCCACACGTTCATTTTCCAGGTGCATCTTGGAAAGCGCTCAAGTCACAGTGAGCTCATAACTGCAAGAAGGAGCATTAGTAAAACCTGTTGGTAGTAGGTAAGCAGTGATCCAAATCAATAGT